CTCCCCCTCCCCTCCTCTCTCCCCCTCCCCAATCCTCTCCCCACTCCACTCCCTCCTCCTCCCCCGCTAGCCCCAGCCCTGACCAACAGCCCTGGCTTCCCCTCTCTCTGCCCCCACCCACACCCGGCAGGAGCTGTCTCGGTTCCAGGAGCTGATATTTGAGGACTTTGCCAGCTTCATCCTGGTGGAGAACACATATGAGGAGGTGGTGTTGCAGACAGTCATGAAGGACATCCTACAGGGTGCGTGCCTCCCAGCCCCCGGGGGCTGACTGCAGAGCTGGGTGGGGTTGCTGCTGCTGTTGGGACCTTTACTGCCTGGAGGGTGGTGGAGGTGGCCGCCCAGAGGTCTTCCTGGTGAGGTCAGCTAAGCTACAAAGAAAAGAGGACTTACGCTGTGGGCTGGGGTGGGCCCACTACTAGCGGTGTGGCCCCAGGAGGGTAGCATCGCGTCTCTGTGCCTTAGTTTGTTTGTGGGTTCTTGACATTTTGGGGAGTATCAGGTGAGTGACAGGGTGTAGGGTCACAGCCCCTGCTTCCCGGCATTGAGGCCTGAAATAGCCTTGTCCCAGTCACAGCACCCACTTAGGCCAAGGCGGGGGCCTCTGGGGGATGATGCAGCTCACAGCTGGGCACAGTGTAGGGCGTGCTGGTGGCCGGCGGCCCCATGGTAAGCGTCCCGACACCGCGCTCTTATCCTGTAGCTGTGAAGGAGGCCGCCGTGCAGAGGAAGCACAACTTGTACCGGGACAGCGTGGTCATGCACAGCAGCGACCCCGACCTGCACCTGCTGGCCGAGGCCGTGCCCGTCGACTGGGGCGAGGAGTACAGTGGCAGCAGTGACAGCGGTGGGGACCCCGGCAGCCCTAGCATCCCGGAAGCAGCCACCCTCTCAGAAAAGCGCCGGCGTGCCAAGCAGGTGGTGTCCGTGGTCCAGGACGAGGAGGCGGGGCTGCCCTTCGAGGCTGTCCCTGAGCCCCTATTACCTACGTCCGCAGACAGCATCACCGAGCTCCGTGGTCTGCTGGCCCGGGATCTGCAGGCTGAGAGCCCCTCACTGGCCGGCCCCCTGCTCAATGGGGCCCCCGCCCAGGAGAGCCCCCAGCCCGGGAAGGCCCCTGAGGCCGCCTCACCGCCTGCCTCACCCCTCCGGCAGCTCCCGCCTGGAAAGGCCTCGGACCTCGAGCCTCCCAAGCCCAGTGACCAGGAGACCGGGGAGCAGGTGTCCGGCCCTGGCGGCCGCCCCCCAATCCATACCACCACCGAGGACGGTGCAGGGGTGCAGACTGAGTTCTAGGCCAGTCGCCCCCGAGCTTCTGTTGGACATGGCACACGGGCCACTCCCTGAGGCACTGGAAGGCTCGGCTCTGGGCGGGGGAGCGCTGGATCTGTGCCTTCCAGGTGGGGATGGGGCCGGGCTGGTGTGACATCTCTGGGGCTGGGCGGGGACGGGCCCACCTGAGTCACTTTATTGGGTTTGGTCACACTTGGTCGGTCTGTTTTCTCTTCTGTGGGATGATCTCGGCTTTCCTCCTCCTGCCGGGGGCAGAGCACAGTGGAGGGGGCTGGGAGCACACGGTGGCCCTGGGTCCCTGAATCCTGCCTCCCTGCCCTGCCTCTGTGGCCCATTTCCCTTGTGGGTCTTGCCATCCTTGGGAAGAGGGCGGTAAGAGTAGCATCTGCTGTGACACAGAGCCCATGGATCCTCTGCTCTCACCAAGGGGCTCGCTGGAACCAGGAAGACGGAGCTCTGAGGCCCGTCTCGCCCCGCTCCTCCCTCCTCCCGGCTGGGCCCCAGAGGCCAGTTTTGGAGTGGATACTGGCCTTGCTGTCCTGCCCCGGGTGAGGGGATGTGCAAGGAGGGGGCCTTCAGGCTGGGGGTGGGCTGCCTCGTGGAGGGGGCTGGGGCCGTGGGCCTGAGGAGAGAACAAGAAAGGCCTGGAACGGGCTGGTCTGGGGAGAGGAGGGAGAGGACATGTCTGAGGAAGGAGGGCGTGACCTCTGCAGAGGTACTGCTGAGGGGGTGGGCGAGGTGGCAGATGGAGGGTTGCTGGGGGGGTGGGCGCGGTGGCAGATGGAGGGTTGCTGGAAGCTGGGCCGTTGCCTCCCCCTCCACTTGCTGGGGTCCAGTCTCCGGAGTCCCTCTGTCCCCGTGCTGGGGTGGGGTGGGGGGCGGTGGCCTGTTGCTCAGTGGTAGGGCTGGGTGGGTGTGGACTCTGCAGGCCACTTCCAAGGTACGCGCTGTCCTCCCAGGGAGCTGCGGGGCTTGTGAGGGGCAGGGGGATGGGCCGAGGCGCCCCAGGGCGCCACTGAGCTTTTGGGTCAGGCTGGGGCTCGGCCCCTGCTGCTCTTGAGTTTCCAGTCACCCCACCCTGAAAACTCCAGGAAAACTCGTGTCCTCACGAGTCACGTGGGGCCCAGCCATCCCCCTTCCTGGGGTGAGGGTCAAGCCGAGACCATCCCCAGGGGCTGGGGCCTCCTGGCCTTCCCAGACCCCCTCCCCTGCTGCTTTGAGGGGGAGGGGGGGCAGGGCAGAAACCAAGTCCTTCAGGGTCCTCAACGCCACCCCAGCCCTGCATCCTCCATCCCCTCGATCTCCTTCCTGGACCGGGCCCTGGGACCCACAGGATGTGAAGCACTGGCTGGTGCTCAGGGACCACCCCCGCCAGTCCCCCAAGCCCTAAACTCAACACCTCACTAACCTCTTTTACCAACACGTTCTGTCTGAAGATGCTTTCCTCTGGTGCCTTCTTTTGTGGTTTTCCAATCATCCTCAAATCTTGTATTGAAAATATTATGCAAACTGTTTAAGCTTCTACTAATCAATAAATGCTTTATTTAAAGCCAGTGGCCCATGTGTGGTGCCAGCGGGGGGAGACCTTTGCTGGAGACTGACTAGGAGCATCTGTGTACCTTGACTTTCTGGGATGGTCGCTTGACCGAGTGCTTACAGGTGCACGGCCAGAGGTCTTCTATTATCCCATTTTATAGAGGAGAAAACTGAGGCTTGGAGAGAAGGGACACAGCAGGTAGGTGACTAGCCTGCTGGCAGCTCAGACGGTTTCCTCAGCCAGATCCATGCGGGGTGCACCTCTGGCAGTCTCGGGCAATGGTGAGGGCAGGAGGGCAGCTACTTTATGGCCACGTGGCCTTGGGGTGCCCATGGTGGGTGGGCCCGAGGCTCACACTAGATCCACACAGTGATGCCAGGGTTTAAGACTCCTGCTCACACAGCTAGTACTTACTGTGGGCCATGCACGTTACTTGCAGACTAGGAGCCTCCCGGCAGCTCCAGGTGGCGGGCGCCATTGTCACATTTCACCGATGTGTACACTGAGGTCCAGGAAGGCGGGGAACCTGGGCTGGGGCTATGGGGCCCCCATCACCTTGGGGGATGGTAGCCAGGGGCTGAAGGCTTGTTAAGGGCTGAGGTGAGAAAGCGGGGGCTCAGCTGCAGTCTTGCTGTTGACCTTGGCAAGTCACTGAACTCAGCCTCAGGCTCCTCGTCTATAAAAGGGGGGCCTATTGAGGGTTCAAGGAGACCTGCCAAACACTGCTCTGCGAGGTGGCCCTGCCCACCTCAGGCCTCAGTCTCCCCTCTTAGCTAAGCAGAGCCCAGGAGGGTGGGTGGGGAGGGAAACCATCAGAGGTCCCCCGGGTACCTGGAAAGCAGGACTCACACCACATGGGCCCTTCATCCGTCCTGTTTCAGCCTGCAGGACTGTCACAAGGTAGGGAGAGTGAGGGCCTGTCCCCTGCATCCCGCCGGCTCTTACGCTGTGCCTGCGATGAGCAGTCAGGGCTCCCTGGTGGCCTCCGGCCTACATCAGGGCTCCATAGTGTCCCTTGCTGACCAGATGGGGAACTAGGATGTGGAAGGTTGGCCATAGAGTTAACTGGAGGCAGAGCCCAGGTGCCCCGAGCAGGCTTGCCTCTAGCCCAAAGAAAAAGCTGCCCCTGGCTCAAAACTATCTGCCAGAAAATGCACGATAAAGGTGCAGCTTTACAGTGCGTACCAGGAGCGTGGCTCCTCCTGGAATCGTGCAGTGAACAACCAGCGTGACTGCGTGGGTTTAGGGGTCAAGATGCTTCTAGGCTCCAGAGCCAGTGCCACCACGTTCCTGTCGCAGGGCCCGGGACATCCAGCCCCCTGGTCTGGGGTAACGATAACAGAGCACATAGCACAGCCCACATGGCACCACGAGCTCCGCAGACGACTTTCTGAGCCCTTCTCTTAGAGCCCTGGTCTCTCCACCTGCAACAAGGGAGGTTTGGATAACTTCACCTTTGGGAACACGGCACCCCCCCACTTCCCTTCTGACTCAGCTGCGACCCCCTCCCCCTCCCCGGGCTCCATCAGGACCCAGTGATGACTCTGGAGGAGCAGGCTGGAGATGGGTTTATTGACGTTCCTGCTTTGGGTCTGCAAAGCTCAGTACCTGCCCTGGAGCTGCGTGGGGTGAGGAGGTGCAGATCTGGAGAGCAGAGGGGCCCAGCGTGCGGGGAGCGGCAGAGGGAGGCGAGGAGGGGCCGACGTCGCTGCGGCACCAGGCCTGCCCCGAACACATTCTGGCCAGTCAGTCCGGGGACAGGCCACGGTGGCCTCCCCCCCTCTCCCCGTGGCCAGGGCCCTCCTGCACTCCCACCACCCTGGGACAGCACTGCCCGGGCTCCCCTGATGAGGCTCCTGGGAGGGGGGGCCGTGACTGCCAGAGGCAGCTGAGACACTCAGGCCTGTGCTCAGATGGAGGCACGCTGGCACCCCACACCCCAGACCCTGTCCTCGTGCGGCAAGGGGTCCTTGCTCCTCCTCCGCCACAGTATTCACACTGGCTCTGTCCTTGGTCAGGAACACTCCTGTCTCCACCTGGGCCAGGACAGAGGGGCTCGTACTAGTCCATGGAGAACAGAGCGGGAGCTGGAGCCCTGGGCCCGCAGGTGGCAGAGGTGGGGCTGGAGGTGTCAGGCCTGGGCCGGCAGCCGGCGCTCAGCGGCTGTGGTAGATGCGGAGGCGCTGGGCGATGTCCTGGCGGCACAGTGGGCAAGTACGCAGGGGCTGGCAGCACTGCTGGCAGCAGCAGATGTGGCCGCAGTTGAGGAAGATCATCTGGGCCTGAGGAGAGAGCGCGGGAGCACCTGGGAACCAGCCCGGCCCGATTCCCCGGGGATGGGGCAAGTGAGGCCCCCGGCCCCTAAAGATCTGACAGCACGGTCGTCATGCTCCAGTCAGCAAAGGAGCACGTGCCACGGCCCTTCTTGGTCACTCTCTGCCCCTCTCTGTAACAGCCGTGCACGTTTTACAGCCACACCCTGTCTCACCAGCCCGGCTGCTGGATGTGCACGTTGTTCCCAATTTTTGGTTTTTCTGTGCACTTTGCCCGGACCCTCGGTCTCAAAACCACCCCAGCATTGTGGATTAAAAGCCATGGAAGTGTGTCTATTCTTTGCTTTAGCATTTTCTCTTTTTAGTAAATTATCCTAAGTAAATAACCAAGGATGTGCTCCAAATTCTGTTCAAGGCTGTTCAGTATAGCACTGTTTGTAATAACAAGAGCTAGGAAGCCACCTCCAGGGCCCAGAGCAGGGGTTTGGTTAAATTTATAACCACCAAGGCCCCCTGCATCACCGCATTCCCTGAGCCCAGCAAAAACCACAGGGTAGGGCTTCCCTGGTGGCGCAGTGGTTGAGAGTCCGCCTGCCAATGCAGGGGATATGGGTTCGTGCCCTGGCCCGGGAGGATCCCACATGCCGCGGAGTGGCTGGGCCCGTGAGCCATGGCTGCTGGGCCTGCGCATCCGGAGCCTGTGCTCCGCAACGGGAGAGGCCACAACAGTGAGAGGCCCGTGTACCGCAAAAAACAAAAACAAAAAAACCCCAAAACCACAGGGTAATCAAACTGCTAATGTGGCAACCTTTTCTAAGCAGGACCACACTCTGGGGGGAGGGGGAGTATTTTACGTGCTACATTGCTGAATTTTTATAATAGGCATCAATTTTGTTACAGTTTTTAAAACAGGTTTTAAAAAGTCTCTTCAGAGAAAATTGTGTTGTTGATATTTAATGACAATACATATACGAAGGGAAACTTCCTAAGTGGGAGAAAAAACTCCTGAAAAAAAAAAAAGGCCCAGAAAATGATGTTAGCATTACTCATGTTTGGGTAATGGGATCATGGGTCATTTTAATTTCCTGTTTTTTGTCCGGGAGGCTCCGGACGGCAGGCACTGGGCCTGTTGCCCCAGACTTACCTCCCGTTCCAGGCACACAACACATTCTGAGGCCTGGGCCTCCAGCTCTGCGCAGGGGGCTGATGGTCTCACTGCCTTGGGAAGCTCCTTAGGGGCCGTGGGGAGGACCTCGCCCTGGGGTGGTTTCAGCAGCTCTGTGGGAACAGAGAGTCTGAGGCAGGGTCACGCCCACCTGACCCCCGATCCCTGGGGCCTCCCCTGGCCCCGCCTGCCCCAAGTGGCAGGGAGCTGGAGCGGGATGGAATCCGACCAGGACCCTGCCTTCCTACACACCCTCTTATTTCTCTTTGCTGAGCCTCATTCCCTCACCTGTAAAACGGGACAGATGGGGCTCCGGTTAATTGGGGCCTCTTATCCCTAACACACTCTGAATCCTTCACAGCCACCCTGCAAGCAGGGCTCATCACTGTCAGAGATGAGAAATCGGAGGCTCAGAGGGGGAAGCCACTTGCGCGAGGCCACAGGGCCATCTGGTGGTAGAGCTGCCCCGCAGCAGCCCTGGGTAGGACCGGACCTCCCTCGCAGATTCTCCACCCAGGGGCCTGGGCGCAGGTGGCCCAGAGGAGGAGCGAGAGGAGTGAGCAGCTCTCAAGGCTGCTCCCCGTGTCCCCTGGCAGAGGCCCCAGCATGTCCCCTGCCTGGGTCCCAACCGCTGCGAAGGAGGACATCAGAATCCGTCTCTCTCATTATCACACCACGTGCACCAGCGACACCCCCAAGTCTCTCTCCATCCCTGATCCCCATCCCCTCAGTTCATGTTTTCCATTTATCCTACAGGTTAAATTACAAGTAGTATTTTTTATAATTGTAAAAAACCTGAAGTTTTCTTTGTAAAAAGCCCATCACACCCACTCGAGACCCTCTAGGGTATCATGGTGTCCCCCGCAAACCATCACTGTAAGCGGGCACTTCTATATTTAATATAACACATATTGAGTCCTAGGATCAGAAAGAGAACTGTTGGGAAAACTCCTGAGGCTCTCCTGCCCTCTGGAGCTCAGGAGCCTTCCAGCCCAGCCCCTCCCTGCAGGGCAGCCACGATCAGGAAGAAGCCCTAAGGGTTAGGGTTAGGGTCAACCTGTCTCTGCCTCAGTTTCCTCATCCCTCAGATGCGGGTAACAATGGTGCCCACCTCACGGGGCTGCAGCAAAGGTGACCTGACGTGGTGGTCGTCAAATGCCTGATACCCGTCCTGCTCGGCACACAGGAGACCTTCCCCTGGGTCAGCCACAGCACCTGCCCTCTCCCGGGCCTCCGGATGAGGGCAGGGCACCTCCTTCACAACCATCACAAACACCTTTCTACGTCCAAACCACAGGCCTGCCCTGGGGCGCAGCGCTGGGCACGGGGTGGGCACTGGGTCTGGCTGATTTCTCCCTCTACTCCAGGGATCCTGAGTGTGTGGTTCCCGACGTCTAGTAGGGCGGGTTTAGGGAAGCCAGAAGGGTCCTGAAACTGCTATAGGAAAATTTCTTTTTTCCCATTTTTGGAGCCTGCTTTTCCCATTTATAAATTGTTCCTTTAGGAGGGAAGCTTAAGGACTGGGCAGGGTTAGAAGTGGCCCTTAGGACTCGTCCTGAACGAGTGACACCCCCAACCGCAGCCCACACGTAAGGGCTCTGCTCAGGAGAGGGCTCAGCATCAGTACCTGGCTGGGCCCTGGTCGCGTCCAGCAGCTCCTGGGCTCTGCGCAGGATCTGGTGCCGCAGGCCGGCTTCCGAGACGCCCACCTGCTTGGACCAAGGAGGGCAGGTCATGGCCTGGGCTGGGCAAGGGACATACTATGCAGCCACGGTCAGAGCCACTACCTCCTCCCTGGCTTCTAGCACCCTCAGCTGGAAAGGTGGAGGCCTACGAGGGCCCGACAATCGGTAGAGCAGAGGGAGACACTGACGCCCAGAGGGAAACCAACACTAGTAACAGCAACAGTTTAGGAAAAAGTGCGAAGCCCGCACAGGGGCTGTGCTGACAGCTTCACCTGCACGACCTCCCATCACCCCCGTGACGACCAGGAAGTCAGGACCCTCTGTCACAGTTTGCACGGTCAGGTGGTTCACACCGAGGCTGAGCTGCTGAGAAGTGGCCGTGCCAGAATCACACAGTCCCTCAGCCTCCAGAGAGAGTGCTCCTGAGCGTGGGCGACACAGTCGTGTCGCCCTTCTGAGCCCCAGTGCCTGCGTCTGCCGAGGGCCGGGCAGTACAGCAGAGTGGTCAACAGCATGGACCCTGGCACCAGGCCAGCCGCCTGGGCTGGAGTCCTGGCTCTGCTGTGCGACCTCGGGCCAACTGCTACCTTGCCGTGTCTCAGCCTCCTCATCCGAAAGATGACGACAATGTCAGCACGTGCCTACCCAGGTTGTTGGGAAGATTCAGTGAATTCGTGTGTAAAACGTGCTTAGAACAGCGCCTAGCACTGTCCAGTATCTGCCGGCATCGGTATTTGTCTCTTTTGAAGGGTAAATGAATTAGTGCAGCATGTACCAGGCTCGGGCAGCGCTGCTGCTGTGATAACTGTAAATCCATGGGGTGGGGAGGGGGCTGGTCCAGATGAGCTCCAAGGTCCCGGCTGTCCAGCCCTACGAGGTGAAGATCCAATCTGAACGGGGGGTGGGGGGGGACAGGGGGGCAGCCATCTGGGGTCAGCAGCACCCATAGCCCTGGCTTTTGTAGCCACATGACTCGGGGCGGTTGGGGCACGTTCTGGCCTTCTGGGAGCAAGGTGGCCCTTTGACAGCTGACGACATGGGCCTCACCAGGAACTGCGTGAAGAGCAAATGGCCCCTTGGCTGGGTCGGGCCAGGGCCCTGCCCGCCGCCCTCACCTCCCCCGAGGGGCAGCTGCTGCCCACCTTGGCCAGGTCCCCAGGGCCCATCCGGCTCAGCATGTCCAGCGAGATGCGGTGGTGGGTGAAGATGGGAAGGTAGTGCTCCGCCGACAGCTCCACCAGGAGCGCCACCAGCTGGCGCTCCAGGCCTTCTCCCTACAGGACAGACCCAGGGGAGAAGCCAAGCGCACCACGGATGGGGAACCAAGAAGCCATTACTTACTCACATCAGCAAACAAAAAGTTCAAATACATACAACATAATATGTAAAACGTATTCTTGGAACTCTTCCTACAAAAATGGATATGTAAGGGCATAGAGATAGATGCACGAGGAAGTTAGTTCACTGCCGCTCTGTAAACTTGACAATGTAAGCAACTTAAGTACCCATCAAGAGGGGACTGTTTAAACAAATGAGGGCTCATCCAGATCCTAAATGCTGTGCAGTCATCTGGAAACGAGATCTACGCACACGGGCCTGGAGAACAGCCTGTCACTATTGTTGAGGGGGAAATAGGAAGTTGCCAAAATAGCCTTATAGAAGGACTTCTGTTTTTTTTTTTTGGTCGTGCCACGTAGCTTGTGGGATCTTAGCTCCCTGACCAGGGACCGAACCTGTGCCTGCTGCAGTGGAAGCATAGAGTCTTAACCACTGGACCACCAGGGAATTCCACCAGGGAATTCCCAAGAAAGACTCCATTTTTATTATATATATAAAAAAAGGGGTGTGTGTGTGTGTGTGCATGTGTGTGGGAGGGGAGAGAGGGAGGGGAGAGAGGGAGGGGGAGGGACCCAAACTACACGCGGTTCCCTTTACTCTCAGTTCAGGTATCTTCTGAAGAGGACAGCAATTCAAGGGAAATCAAAGGCAGTTTCTAGAGAAATAGATTTCTTTGTTCTGACAAATTGAAAGACACTGTGTTGAAGGAAGCTTTTGCCAAGCGCACCACATTGGATCTTCTGTCCAAGGCCATCATCAAGGTCACGTTAATGGCTGGGCTTCTGAAAAATGTGGTCTTAGTGAAATCTGGAAGGAGTCCTAATGCTCTTTCCAACAGCCACATAAATAACCAAGAGGCATGCGGCACAGTGGGTTTCTGTCTTACTTTGGCCAGTCACTGGTATTATAACTTTTGGCAATTCCTTTAACCATTTGGAGCTTCACTTTTAACATGTAGAGGTGACAAGCAGACATGGAGTGAAATTCCAGGTTCATCTCTTATTACTGTATGATTTTAGGAAAGTTATATAACTCCTATGAATTTCTTTCTTCAGCTATAAGATGTGAATAAGACATGAAAAGATCATTCAGAAGTAGCCTGACCAAAAAAAAAAGGACATAATGTATGATTCTATTTATATAAAGCTGTGGAAAATGCCAACCGAACTACAGTGACAGAGAGTAGATCAATGGTTGCTTGGGGAGCTGGGAAGCAGGGAGGGGTGGGGAACAAAGAGACCTCTCAGGTGGTGGATCTGCCCCCATCTTGATTTGGTGCTTGTTTCACGGGTGTATATGTATGCCAAAACATCAAATTATACATTAAACATTGTAAACATTTATTGTTTGTCAATTATGCCTCAATAAAGCTGTTTTTTTAAAGGGTGAGAGAATTAAATGAGATAGTATGTGCAAAACAATTAGCACAGCATGTGGTACAAGTAAAAGTCTCCAGAAATATGGGCTCCTTTCCCCACTGATGTCAAAGGGCTATTTAAAATGGTACTGTGCTCCATAAACAACCATCAGTACTACAAACACTGAAATCTTCCCAGAAGTTTTATAGCTTGATAAATATTTTCAAAGAAAAATATGGGACAATATGAAAATATCTCTGTGGCTTTTTAAGGATATATTTTGGAGGCTTTCTTTCAAATCTTCATTAGAAGCATACTTTCATTGTTGGAATCACATTACACATAGGACTTGCATGCCACTTTCCACTCCATGTTTTTAAGTAAAATGTCTTGCATGTTGTTTTTAATGGCTGCCTTGTAATTTTTTCAGTGGTAAGAATTCTGGATATATTTTAAAGATAGAGCTGCCAGGATTTGCTGACAGATTGAACGTGGGGCATGAGGGAAAGA